CAGATTCTTCCTGGAAAAGGTGCGTTTGTTTCTCTGCAGCTTGAGCTTCAGGGTGAAACTGAAAGGTCATGAAGGAGGAGGGGAGCCGGCGCCCCCTGGTTCAGTCCGACCCGTTCGGTTTGAGACTCGGTGAATCGGCTCAGCATCTGGAACTGGTTCAGGTTTCCATGGTGACAGACGAAGTTCCTCCCACATGAAGTCTGTTCACACATGGAGACGCAGCGAGGAGACGCAGCGAGGAGACGGAGCGAGGAGACGGAGCGAGGAGACGCAGCGAGGAGACGCTGAGAGGAAACGCTGAGAGGAGACGCAGCGAGGAGACGCAGCGAGGAGACGCAGCGAGGAGACGGAGCGAGGAGACGCAGCGAGGAGACGCTGAGAGGAGACGGAGCGAGGAGACGCTGAGAGGAGACGCAGCGAGGAGACGCAGCCAGGAGACGCAGCGAGGAGACGCAGCGAGGAGACGCAGCGAGGAGACGCTGAGAGGAGACGCTGAGAGGAGACGCTGCGAGGAGACGCAGCGAGGAGACGCAGCGAGGAGACGCTGAGAGGAGACGCTGAGAGGAGACGCTGCGAGGAGACGCAGCGAGGAGACGCAGCGAGGAGACGCAGCGAGGAGACGCAGCGAGGAGACGCAGCGAGGAGACGCTGAGAGGAGACGCTGAGAGGAGACGCTGCGAGGAGACGCAGCGAGGAGACGCAGCGAGGAGCCGCAGCGAGGAGACGCAGCGAGGAGACGCAGCGAGGAGACGCAGCGAGGAGACAGAGCGAGGAGACGCAGCGAGGAGACGCTGAGAGGAGACGGAGCGAGGAGACGCAGCGAGGAGACGCAGCGAGGAGACGCAGCGAGGAGACGCTGAGAGGAGACGGAGCGAGGAGACGCAGCGAGGAGACGCAGCGAGGAGACGCAGCGAGGAGACGCAGCGAGGAGACAGAGCGAGGAGACGCAGCGAGGAGACGCTGAGAGGAGACGGAGCGAGGAGACGCAGCGAGGAGACGCAGCGAGGAGACGCTGTGAGGAGACGCAGCGAGGAGACGCTGAGAGGAGACGCAGCGAGGAGACGGAGCGAGGAGACGCAGCGAGGAGACGCAGCGAGGAGACGCTGAGAGGAGACGCTGAGAGGAGACGCTGAGAGGAGACGCAGCGAGGAGACGCAGCGAGGAGACGCTGAGAGGAGACGCTGAGAGGAGACGCAGCGAGGAGACGCTGCGAGGAGACGCAGCGAGGAGACGCAGCGAGGAGACGCAGCGAGGAGACGGAGCGAGGAGACGCAGCGAGGAGACGCAGCGAGGAGACGCAGCGAGGAGACGCAGCGAGGAGACGCTGAGAGGAGACGCAGCGAGGAGACGCAGCGAGGAGACGCTGAGAGGAGACGCAGCGAAGAGACGCTGTGAGGAGACGCAGCGAGGAGACGCAGCGAGGAGACGCTGAGAGGAGACGCTGAGAGGAGACGCAGCGAGGAGACGCTGAGAGGAGACGCTGAGAGGAGACGCAGCGAGGAGACGCAGCGAGGAGACGCTGAGAGGAGACGCAGCGAGGAGACGCAGCGAGGAGACGCAGCGAGGAGACGCTGAGAGGAGACGCTGAGAGGAGACGCAGCGAGGAGACGCTGAGAGGAGACGCAGCGAGGAGACGCAGCGAGGAGACGCTGAGAGGAGACGCTGAGAGGAGACGCTGAGAGGAGACGCTGAGAGGAGACGCAGCGAGGAGACGCAGCGAGGAGACGCTGAGAGGAGACGCAGCGAGGAGACGCAGCGAGGAGACGCTGAGAGGAGACGCAGCGAGGAGACGCAGCGAGGAGACGCAGCGAGGAGACGCTGAGAGGAGACGCTGAGAGGAGACGCAGCGAGGAGACGCTGCGAGGAGACGGAGCGAGGAGACGCTGCGAGGAGACGCAGCGAGGAGACGCAGCGAGGAGACGCAGCGAGGAGACGCAGCGAGGAGACGCTGAGAGGAGACGGAGCGAGGAGACGCAGCGAGGAGACGCAGCGAGGAGACGCAGCGAGGAGACGCAGCGAGGAGACGCAGCGAGGAGACGCAGCGAGGAGACGCTGAGAGGAGACGCTGAGAGGAGACGCAGCGAGGAGACGCTGAGAGGAGACGCAGCGAGGAGACGCAGCGAGGAGACGCAGCGAGGAGACACTGAGAGGAGACGCAGCGAGGAGACGCTGAGAGGAGACGCAGCGAGGAGACGCAGCGAGGAGACGCTGAGAGGAGACGCAGAGAGGAGACGCAGCGAGGAGACGCTGAGAGGAGACGCAGCGAGGAGACGGAGCGAGGAGACGCTGAGAGGAGACGCAGCGAGGAGACGCAGCGAGGAGACGCTGAGAGGAGACGCAGCGAGGAGACGCAGCGAGGAGACGCAGCGAGGAGACGCTGAGAGGAGACGCAGCGAGGAGACGCTGAGAGGAGACGCTGAGAGGAGACGGAGCGAGGAGACGCAGCGAGGAGACGCTGAGAGGAGACGCAGCGAGGAGACGCTGAGAGGAGACGCAGCGA